CAGAGAACCCCAAGGACTCCACAGTTCAACCCTGAGCTACATATATTCTCTTCTATTAAAACCAAGGGAGTCCCCTCTTACATATTGAGTATAGAAATGAAATGAGCAAAAGAGGGACAAGCTTTCCAGCCATCAACAGAAAATAACTGTGGACAAATTTACAAAGTGCCCAGCATAAATTCAGAGAGGTGAAGAATTAAAGCTTTTGGAGCCTCTGAGGTGAAAAAAAGGAAATGGAATGCATGAAACCGAATCTTAGCTAGCTAGCCCAGTTGGTTAGTTTTCTTCCTAAATACATCAGGTCACTGAATATAAGCAAAAGCAAAAACAGGAAAATCAGAATCTAATCAAGGGTTGGGTATCCTGAAACTTCCAGAGGTTACAGAATTATACCCCCACAGGATCCCTCATAATTAATCAGGAGGGCTGGAGCTGCAGAGAATTATAATTCAGGAACATCTAGGAAGGGCACAGATTCCTTATTCTAAACCATTCGAGTTATCTACCCACTCTGATACTTACTTAAAATATCACCTAATTCATTTATGGAAATGTCCATGACAGGACCCAACAAGAGAAAATTGAATTGATCAACCTGGATATTTTCCATCCAAACATGACAGCAAAACTCACTCCAACATGTCCTCACCTTTGAGGTCTTTGTTCTCAGCCAGGAAATACTGCACAGCTTCATGTCCTGCTAGCTCAGCTGGCAACTGAAGGGTACCAGCTTTGCCCAGAGAGGAGTCGTCTCCCATCATGCCATAGTCACTAGCTGGGCACCCACTTGGCTGCACCATGTTGCAGCTCCAGTCCCCCTGGGCTATACTCATCCAGGCAGATCCTGGGAACAGAAAAAGCACACCTTCAGCACCTTCGTCAAAGCACACACGTGCACAATAACGGCATGTGCCATTTGCCTCAGTTTATGAAAAAGAGATAGAAAGTGATGAGAGTTTACCTTCTTTCTCATTTACTGAATGCCTGGGTTATGCAGAGGTAGAGAGGCTTTGTCTTTTTTTACTAGTCTCAAGATCCATTAAATTGAATCTAATGAAAAGGACATATAATTAAAGAACACTATTCACAGGAATTTGTTTTGAATACCAGTTCACAATCTGTTCATTTGCCTGAAAGGAAATTTTCCTCATTTCAGCAGGATAGTTTACATGTGAATTGGCGGTGGGGGCGGTGGGGGGAATAATACAGGTTCTGCTTTTTCTTAAAAAAATTGGGCCCCTGAAACATTGCCAATCTACTTCAGATCTCCCAGGGATCTAACAGCAGATCTGGAATTATCATTTGTTTACTTCCAGGCAATAGCACTTCAGATGGAAGACTCCTATAATTAAACACTTCTTCATATAAAGAAACAGAATACTCTGCCTATTGAATAGGGTCACAAATTAGGCTATGCTACAATGCAGTTAGCTCTTGGTTTGTTGAATAAGCCATAATTGGCTGGGTTCAATATATAATGTGCAAAGCCAAAACCAAGGAAATGTGATTTAGCATGTTGTGAGAGCCCCACAGAAAAAATTAGCATGTCAAGGAGAAGATGAAGCTACAGCTCCTTAGCGTGACATCTCTGCTTTTCATGTGGAAGGATTTTTTTTGAATGGACAAACATTTAGTCTTGTGAATCTTCCTGCTGAAGGTTCAGTGATACAGCCCAAGAAGAGAGGTACCACTGCAACAGGGCAAAATCTATACCTAAAGAGAGAATGTGCTCTTCAATGCCCAACTATAATAGGAGAGTAGGAAGGATAAGTTGAATGCATGAATCTCAAAGAATATAATGTAGTTTCTGGATATACATTTCAATAGATTATGATGTCAAGGTCTGAGAGTCTGGGATTAACATCAGAAAGATCAAGGTCCAGATCCTAGGTCTGTGCTAAAGCATATTAGATGGCTCATAGGATGGCTTTATATCCTGCACTAAATTATGGCTTCTTAAAAAAGCTGGAATGTTGTAGCAGGTATAGCTAACCTGTTAGCAGGTTAAATCATATTATGATTTATTGTGATGTGTGAAACCTGGGACAAGGATAGCAGGATAAATAGAAGGGAATGGGATTTAGGTAACCTACCCTAAGCTCTTTAGAAAGGGAACACATAAAAATGCAGTAAATAAAATGAGCTCAGTGGGGAGGAGAGGAAATAGGCCTATCACTCATGGCTAGGCATGGTAGTTTACATCCCTCTCCTTAAACAGCACCATAAAATAACAGAAGCAGCTATTGCCCTCATACCCATTTGCAAGTTTCCAAAAGCATTTAGCTAGCAACTGTTTAAAAAGACTTGCTCTAGACCAGTGGTTCTTAAACTCCTTGATCCAATTACCCTTTTTCCTGGTCTCCAAAAATGTCATTTCCCTCATAGAAAAACAGACTCTGTTGCTTTACAAACTAGATCCTTGACTCACAAACAAGCAATTACAAATTGCTCCATTACCCCAGGATATGCCCAAATTACCCCCTTGGGTAATTACCCCCAGTTTAAGAACCACTGCTGGCTGGGGAATTCTGGGAGTTGAAGTCCATACATGTTAAAGTGGCCAAGGTTGAAAAACACTGCTCTAGACAAACTTTTGATCAGATCCAGCATCCCTGACCACACTCTCACGGCACTCTTCCCCATCCTAGCATCCTTCAAACGTGTTTGACTACAGTTCCCATTGTATCTAGCCAGCATGACCTGGCTGTGGGGGCTAGGATGATGGAAACCGTCATCTAACGCAACTGGGGGGCGCCAAGTGGGCAAAGGATCTCCATACGACTAGTGCCTAAGGCCGAACGAGGGAGTCCGCGTGGCTCGCAGACCAAGCTGGTGTGGAAGAGGCCGGACTCCTGGGTCCCCTTGCTAAAGCAACCCCTTCCTGCAAAGGACACCCCCGTCTAAAGAGGAATAAGAGAAGTCGCACCTCTACTTCGAACTTCAGTTTCCACACTCCTTCCTGCGACTTCTTCCTTCCTGGTTTGTTGTTTTCTTGCTCACCGGAAGTGACGTCTAAAAAGAGAAAGCAGATCGGGAAAACGAAAGACGCCAGCCTCGAGTCCTGGAAGTAACGTCAATAAAAGCGGTGGCCATAGATACATCAAATCAAAGTGTACCTTAAAGCAGCCTTGCTGGCTGGGGAATTCTGGGGGTTGAAGTCCACCCGTCTTAAAGTGGCCAAGGTCGAGGAACCCTGCCTTAAAGGTCTAACGTGCGTGGGATTCCCGAATCTGAGTCGCAAAACGTCGGGCGGGCGGAGGAGGAAGGAGCGAGCGCCTTCCGTACCTCTTAGTGGTCGTCCGGATTTTGTTGCCGTAACGAAGTTATTCCCTATTAGTCCTTCTCATTTTATGGTAGAAATAGCGATGGATCCTTTTTAAAAGGCAAAAAACAAAACCCTACCAACAATAGTATTTGGGATGTCCATATGTGGTATCATACATTCACGCGCACACACACGCACGTCCCAAACAGCCACTAACGCCTTGAAAACAAGATAAAGTGAGGTGTCACTGTGAGAGGAAAAGATTGTTAAACTTTAATCCCTGATTAAAACAAATACCGGATGAGGCTACAATCTCTCCCCTCTTAGAGTCTGCCCCAAAGAGTTGGGCTTACCTTACTTCTATGCACACATGTAAAACTGCACATCATTTTATGCTGTCCTTCAAGACTGTAGCTGGCCTTTCTTCCATTAAAAAAATTAATTAAATTTTAAAAAATAATTTCTTCAATTATTTGTTGGAATTTGTTGAAAACCATTATTAGTCTCCATTTTCATTTTTTCTGCAATGACAGAGAACAGATCTATCTCCTATCCACCTGGAATATGGTGGGTGTGCCACTGGATTACACTGTAGATTTATTGTAATCCACTCTTGCATCTTCTGCAATATGGGAACAACATTACAAGGTGATCAAAGGACATTTACTGAAATGCCCCCACAACACTTGCAGCAGCATGACAGGGAAGGGAACCACACTGTGTAGTTGTAATAAGCCCCTTTGTGCCATTGTATCCTACCAATAGTTTGAAAAGGGCATTGAATCTCCAAAAAACAGCTGTTATCATTCTACGGGGAGTCAACAAAAAAGTTCCAAAAATAACCAAGAAGTCCTGTCTGTGAATCACTTTTCCCCAAAACTGCCAGTCTATCATTTTCTTACAAAAATTTATTGTGGATGATAATTATTATAACTATGTATGTTCAGGTTTGTTATTATTAACTGTAGCTAAAATTACCTGCATTTTCTTTTGGCTATTGAAGATATTTAATCTGAATGAAAACAATTGCGGGAAAAGACTGAGAAAGAAATACACCACCCCAGATGTTGTAACTTTTAAATTCTCCATGATTTATTAATAGGTTGTAAGCAGAAATTAACATGCATTTTTCAGTACCATTAGCCTGCAAAACTATACTATATGCTTGAGCATCTGCCTCCTCGAAGACAGACTTCTACATAACTTTGCATACTATTTGGTTGTTACATCATGCAATTTTAAGCATGTTTCAGTCACAAGTAACTCCTGTTGAGTACTTGTTCCAGCACAAGTTTATTTAAGATTGCTTGCAATGTTATATTTGTTTAATCAAAAGCAAAACTCTTTTTTGTGTGGAATTTATTTTCAATCAAGTTGTTCAGGATTGAAATTTAAGCATATAGGTAATTTATTTAAATTTATATTACTACTGGATATCACTTGATGCAATCCTTCTTGCTGCTATTCTCAGGCCTCAAATAGTTATACACAACACACTTAAACCAAAATCAAACATTGTCTGAATTGTGTCAAGTGATCTCAACTGTTGTTATGATGAACTGTGGCTTATAGCTTAGCATGTTGTTTAAATCCAATCAATTATGGTTTTATTCTATCAATTGTGTTATTACCAAAGCTGGAATAAGGCAGCATGATGTTCCCCAGATATCACCAGGCCACCTGACTTGATTAAAAAAGAAGATATAAATGGGAAAGTAGCATGCTGCATAGTTGAAGGCCAGCCTCTAGCATCAGCCTTATTTTCAAGAATATCTGAGACTCACATGGACTTGTGGCAAGCCAGTAAAGTGTAGAAGTGAAAGTACTGGACTTGGAGAGCTTCACATCTATCTCCACCCATCAAAGCTCACAGGGTGGCTATGGGCCAGTCTCAGTTCAACCTACTCCGCAGTTAAGGGTGGTTCACTGGGATGTCACAAGTAAAAAAGGTGCAGGGCTCTGATTGCATGGCCATGGCCACCTTCTTGACTTTTTTGACTTTGTACCATGGATGTCCCTGCTCATAGGGTAGTGGTGGAGAAAAATTGGAGGAGGGAATGCTAGGTATGCTGCCCTAAGCTCCTAAAGAAAAGGTAGGATATAAGCTAACAAATACAGAAAGAATTTGATGTTATTATAATGTAAAAACAAAGGTTAGCTGAATAAACTGGAGTGATCAAAGACCATCCTGAGGAAGATAGAAGTGGAGAGAGAGAACACTTCACCTGGTTGACATCGTAAATGGATGTTTTGAGATACAGCCACTTGCAACATGCTTTAAAATTTACAGATGTATCTTCTGCTCCCAAAATGTTGTCTGCCCCAAACAAAATGAACAGGAAATCCATTCTGCAGGGATGAAGTGAATGGAATAATGATTTTAAACAATTTCTAGCAGCTGTGGGCTTAGAGATTTGCCCTGGTTGCTCCCAGAGTATTTGTTGACTGTTTATAGGCACTGGTGCCTTTTCACTTAGCTGTTTTTTTTTTTAATAAAATGATCAAAATATCATCCTAGCCTCCACATTTCTCTCATCCAAAGGAAATTATACTGTGTAATGTTGTGCCTGATAGTTCTCAGTGTGCAGGAAAACCATAACAGTGTGTATCCACCTTCAGGATGACATTCCAAACTCTCTGATCTCTAGTTAATATATAGTGTCCTTACCTGGCTGATTCCATGCAGGTAGAATACAGATGTATTGCACCTGTTTGATATTTACCTGTAAACAGCATAAAGAGCAGGGGTTACATCACTGCCAGTGGCAGCTTCTACAAAAATCTGGAGTACTTCTGGATAGCACCAAAGAGGTACAGAAAACTCTTAACTCTCTGCTCCTATCTAGTGGTTGTCTAAAAGTCTGCAGTCCAGATCTAGCAGTCCTAGGCAGCGTACAACCCCCATCTGTAGCCTGGCCAAGGGAAGCCACACTCCACTGGACACAGGCACCACCTGGCCTTGGAAACAGACAGTGGGCTAAACCCTGCATTTAACCCTTTGATAAAAGCAAGGCCCCTTTTATGCTTAGGTTTTGGGATGGTGCAACTGGTGAGAGGACAGAGGGTTATCCCAGGGGAAGACTCTGGGATTGTTGGCAGGGTTGCTTTCTTAACCTTCCTCCAGGTGAGAGGGGGTGCAAAGGCGTAACTGGAGCTGCAGCGAAAGCCCAAAAAGAGTTATGAGTGCACCCTGCCTGTGTCTAGCTGAGGGATAGACAGGAGCCCAAGTCCAGCAGAGCTACAGATTAGGCTTTTAATGACTGCCTTACCTCATGAAATCTGTCATGGAGGGCTTCCCTCTTTTAGTATCTCATTTTTGTTCATTGCTATGCTTGTTTGGCTGGCTCGCATTTGTTTTTTGTTTCCTAATTTGTGCTCCGTTTTTGTGTCTTCTGGAGAAGTCATCTGTGGTCTGAAGATGAGTTATCTTTTTCCAGTGCTGCTGGTGCCCCTATTTAAGTAATGTGGGACAGAGGAACAGCTGGGCAAAGCAAAGAGGCAGAGATGTTAAACAAGATGGGATAACTTCACTTACAACGGTTCCTACCTTCATCTACCAGGAACCTAGGGAGCCAGGTGAGTTACCACAGGTCTTGATGCTCCTCCTGCTGAATGCCAGGCATTCACAATAACACAACCTGGGGAGTCCATGGGATCATGTCAGGAAGAGGCAGAGGTTGGGAGGGGCTGTTGGGTCCTACCTAATGCCACCTGACTATGCCATAGAGGACTGGTACAGACCTGCCAGTTGATGTCATGAACATTCACATGCTGTTTTCAGATTGCTCTAATGGGAAGCAGTACATACTCATTGAATCTTGCTTTCCAGCATCTCTATTTGGAACTATCAGTTTGAAGGGCAGTGTACCTAATTTGGAACAGTCAGCTGAAGACAAGAATTCTGCTGCCTTCCCACTACCTTGCAGAGTCCTGAATAAGGCCACCAAGGAGTGTGAGAGGTGATGGTGGCAAGCCCAAAGATTTTAGTTTGAGGGGCTTTCAATGGTTATGTTGAGATCACTCTAACAGGAATGGCTCAGGATTTCAACACCTCTATGGGCTTTACACCATCTTAGAACTTATCCACGAGGCAGGCCATTTCCTTGATCTGGTTTTTGTCCTGGAAGAGAATGGTTCATATATAGAGGACCCAGAAGTGACACCCGTGTTACTGACAGAGTATTATCTAGGGAGGATTGGACTGTGGCAACATACAGTGGGGCAAAAAAGTATTTAGTCAGCCACCAATTGTGCAAGTTCTCCCACTTAAAAGCAAGTTCTCCCACTTAAAAGCAAGTTCTCCCACTTAAAAAGACGAGAGAGGCCTGTAATTTTCATAATTGGTATACTTCAACTATGAGAGACAAAATGGGGGGGAAAATCCAGAAAATCACATTGTCTGATTTTTAAAGAATTTATTTGCAAATCATGGTGGAAAATAAGTATTTGATCACGCAAGTTCTCCCACTTAAAAAGACGAGAGAGGCCTGTAATTTTCATAATTGGTATACTTCAACTATGAGAGACAAAATGGGGGGGAAAATCCAGAAAATCACATTGTCTGATTTTTAAAGAATTTATTTGCAAATCATGGTGGAAAATAAGTATTTGATCACGCAAGTTCTCCCACTTAAAAAGACGAGAGAGGCCTGTAATTTTCATAATTGGTATACTTCAACTATGAGAGACAAAATGGGGGGGAAAATCCAGAAAATCACATTGTCTGATTTTTAAAGAATT